TTCTTTATGAATTCAATTATAAATAAATTTTGTGATAAAAAAAATGCAGAATACTAATTTTAAAGACTATTAAAGGACTATGAAATTAAAAAATTATTCCTTTGGTTCTTTTCTTTTTTTGAACGTCAATATTTTATTTATATTGAATACATGAGTTACGTGCAAATTTTTAGAAAAAATATAAATACAACTAAAAATATAATCAGAGAAGAAAATCCATTTCAAGTGGTGTGGAAAGGTCCGATGGTTTAATTTGATCTAATGTATTCCAATACTTAATTCAATACTTGTATGTAAGGAATATGTATGTAGGGACAATTGTGCGTATTTTTTTACAGTGCATACTCAATTTCTTGTATAGTGTCTTTCTCTTCGTTAGGGTTTTCTTGATTAATGATGTAAGATAACACACCTCTTATCAGTCCTAGACGATGTTTGTTAAGGATTTGTTGGAATGTCTCTAGATGCCCCTTCCAATGATTATGCTTATTCGTTGTACCTAAATCCTTTAATTATAGGCATCTCCTTAGTTTGAGCCTGTTTTTCATATGGGGCTCGGTTTCATTATACATATATATTTTTATGTATGGCAAATTTGAATGGTAAAGTTGTAATCTGGTTTTGGCCCTAGTGATAAAATCTTTACTACTAATTACTCATTTCGTTCTGAAATATCTATCGTTTAAAGTTTTTGCACAAGGATTAAGGAAGCTATTAAATATCTCTAATATGAGTAAAAAATAATTGTACAAGATTAAAATACTCTTATTGGAGAAAGAAAAGAAAATGAAAGATACTTAGTCTATACTTAATTTATTAAGTACTTATTAAAAAACATAGATAAAGATAAATTTAAAAAAAAATATTAATTATACTTTAGTTTTATTAAACGATAGGTATCGTTGAACAAAAAAATTTGTATAAAATAACAAATATTTATAAACGGAGGAGCAACTTTCAGGGGCATGCCCACTTGAACTTTGTTGTACATTACAGCCCGACAAAGACGCAAACTGGTTGACGCAATCAAGGAAAATGAGCTGGATATGGAGCTGTTTGACTTTAACGCCACCTGGGTGGCAAATGATCCAAGAAATATTTGTACTTCCCAACCGTAAAAAACAAATAAAATACTATTTTTCCTGGTCTTGAATTAAAAAAATTACTAAATAATTCTAATATAAACAAAAAATAATTATACGAGACTAAAATATTCTTATTCAATACGTATTGAGAACAAAAAAAATTATGAAAGATACTACCCTACACTTAATTTATTAAGCACTTATTGAAAAGCAGAGAAAAAGGTAAATTTGAAAGAAAAAAATATTAATTATGTTTTGATTTTATTAAACGACAGATATTATAAAATAAAAAAAAATTGTTCAAAACAACAGATATTTAGAAACAGAGGGAGTAAACCAAAATCAAATGGTGTGTGTGTGTGTAGGAGTGTCAATTTTTGACTCAAACACAAACCCGACTCGAACTGAATCCGACACGAACCTGAAAATAACACGATTAGTTGACATGAGTAATAAATGAGTCAAATTAAGGTTCGATACGAATAACACGATTAATGAGTATAGTAGATAAAAAATAATTATTTAATGAGTATTGTAGAAAGAAAATAAGAATTTTATAATTTTTTAAATAATATTATATTAGTTGTTGTCTAATTAAATAATTTTTTATTAATACGAATATTGGTACGAACCCGACATATATCGAAAGTGATACAACATAAAAATAACACGATTGAAAGTAACATTACACAATACAAAACTAATACAATACGACACGACACGACACGACGCGATACGATTGACACACTTACGTTTTTGTAGGGGTTTGGTGCAGGTGGGGGTGTGGCAACAACAACAGATTGGGTAGCTCCGAATCCGATCACGTGGAGTCCCAAATCCCCAACACCTAAATAAATCGCTGCCTTTATATACTTTAGGTTGACATTATTAATTTTTGGGTTACAATCACGTTTTTATATTATTTTATTATTTTTTGAATAAAATTTAATATATATATTTTTTAATTTTTTTGATTACGATTTACTATTTTCCATTAAAAAATAATAATAAATCTCTGCGTCGCAATGACCCAAACGCCGCCTGATTTCCTGCTTGGAAACATTACCCCTAAAACCCCATCCCCACAGCCGTGGCCCACTACCAGCAGAGCAGAGTCCACCAACCCCCCCTCCAATATGAAATTATGAATATATGGGGCTCGAGGTGGGACCCTTCTCTAAAAAGAAACACGTGGATGCTTAGGATCATCACAAAGCTAGTGAATCAGACCAAATATACATTAAATAATGTTATTTTATTATAATTTTTTCATATTATAATCTCAATTTGTGGTATATAATTATAAGCAGATGGTAGTAGGACGGGGAGGCACATGGGGTGGTGGTGGCTTCAAGAAAATCATGTGATCACATGTGCATTGCCCTTTGTTTTTTTGACTGTGGGCCTCTTTTCTACCATGACTCTATCCCGTTCTCCCTCTAGCCTGATGATCCAAAAGCAACTTATATGCCCACTCTCACCACTTGGTCGTGCCTCACACGTCTTACACAACGGCCACAAATTTGACTATGCATGTGATTTATCGAATAAAAAATTACTGGTATTACTCGGATTTATTTTATTGATTTAATTATTTATAATTGTTGGATTGACGGTGAAATTCAATATGAATTTAATATTTTTGGTGAATTAAGTTAATAAATTATATGAATTAATTAAGTTTAAACAGTATTATTAATAAAAAAAAATATCAATATGACCACGTGTCTGCACTCCTGGAACACCACACACACGTTCTTTGACAGGCGCGTGAGTTTGTCATCTCTTCAACACTCCTTGATCAGTGCCTTGGGAAGCCAAAACCTAGGTAGGTCCAGCTTCGTTGGCATTGACATTTCCACGACTCAACAATAATTTAACACCACCGCCGCCCAGAAACCTCATTCACAACGTCATAAACATAACTCTCTCTCTCTCACTTCTGTGTCTGTGTGTATATGTGTTAGTCAATGGGGAGTACTAGTACGGAAGAACAAAGAACAACCACCGCATTTTCAATGAAAGAGAGAATGACCCAGAAAAAGTCTGGAATGGTTAATGCAGTTGAGGAGTCATTGGTCAGTTACCGCCGTGTACGACGGCCGGAGAGGCACCACAGGAGAAGCAGAAGGAAGATAAGGGATGTGAAGGTTCTGAAGGAAGTGAAGGATGGTGGTGGTGAAGATGAGAAGGCGCAGGTAGAGAGGAAGATAGTGGCATTGCAGAGTATAGTGCCAGGAGGTGAGTCACTTGGGATAGACAAGCTGTTTGAAGAGACTGCGGGATACATATTGGCATTGCAGAATCAACTCCAGGCCTTGAGAGCTCTTACAATCTGTTTTGAGGGGTGGGAAAGGGAAAGGATGAAGCTTGGAGGTTGATGTTCATGTTCATGTTAAAGCAAAGGGTAGATTGGTTTCATTTCATGACAGACCAATTGAATACTCTCTCTCTCTCTCTCTCTCATATATTTTGTTTGAAGGTAGTACTACCTGGGTAACATTTTCCAACCATTTGTCATTTTGGTACATTTTGATGGGGAAATATTGCCATGTTAATACTCATTTGGGTTCTTGTATTCTCCTTGCCATTTCATCCATTCTAAGTATTGGACAACCATGGAAGATTGAAATTCCAATAAGTCCAAGATTAAGTGATGATAATTAAGCTCAAGTGATTTGTATGATTTATGACACAGATTGCCACTACTTTTAGCTCTTTTTTTTTTCCTGGCCCTTTTCAAGGTAGGGCTTATCCAAGAGGTAAAGATTGAGTCATTTTTTTTCATGCGAGTGTACTGAATGAGTCAGTAATGCCACTCTTCCTTTTTTTTTTTCTTTTTTTTTTTTGTAAAACATCCAGCAGTCGCAACGGAGATCCGACTAGTTTAAATCCAACTCGAACCACAAGGGCGACAAAATTCTTTTTACTAACTATTTGAACGTAAGTGTATTCCCAAGTCTCGAATGTCACTCTTGCAGTCTTTTTGTGACAATAAACACATTTACTTCCAAAAAATGTCTCAAAAAGCCCTCATTTTTGTACTGGTCCATCTCCGGTCCCGTTTGGACAAACCCCTATTTTCCACAATCCATTCCCATAACTAAACTTTACTCGAATCATAATTGCTCACAAAATAATGTAATTTATATAATAAAATAAAATAATTTTAAATTTTAGAGATAAAGAGTGGTTCAAATCATTTTATAACTAAAAAAGTCATCATCTAATAGACGACATTATCCTAAAATATTTTAATTTATTGACGTTTTAAATTATCTTAATTCGACGTATCACATTAACTTTTTTGAAATATTTTTTCTGCTTAAAATTTTTAGTTTTCAAAATTGACAACCCTACATTAAATTTGCCTCTCAATCTTGCCCAAAATCAATGTCATCTAGATCTAAAATTCTGTTCAAATATAAAATTAACGTCTATNATTCTCCCTCTAGCCTGATGATCCAAAAGCAACTTATATGCCCACTCTCACCACTTGGTCGTGTCTCACACGTCTTACACAACGGCCACAAATTTGACTATGCATGTGATTTATCGAATAAAAAATTACTGGTATTACTCGGATTTATTTTATTGATTTAATTATTTATAATTGTTGGATTGACGGTGAAATTCAATATGAATTTAATATTTTTGGTGAATTAAGTTAATAAATTATATGAATTAATTAAGTTTAAACAGTATTATTAATAAAAAAAAATATCAATATGACCACGTGTCTGCACTCCTGGAACACCACACACACGTTCTTTGACAGGCGCGTGAGTTTGTCATCTCTTCAACACTCCTTGATCAGTGCCTTGGGAAGCCAAAACCTAGGTAGGTCCAGCTTCGTTGGCATTGACATTTCCACGACTCAACAATAATTTAACACCACCGCCGCCCAGAAACCTCATTCACAACGTCATAAACATAACTCTCTCTCTCTCACTTCTGTGTCTGTGTGTATATGTGTTAGTCAATGGGGAGTACTAGTACGGAAGAACAAAGAACAACCACCGCATTTTCAATGAAAGAGAGAATGACCCAGAAAAAGTCTGGAATGGTTAATGCAGTTGAGGAGTCATTGGTCAGTTACCGCCGTGTACGACGGCCGGAGAGGCACCACAGGAGAAGCAGAAGGAAGATAAGGGATGTGAAGGTTCTGAAGGAAGTGAAGGATGGTGGTGGTGAAGATGAGAAGGCGCAGGTAGAGAGGAAGATAGTGGCATTGCAGAGTATAGTGCCAGGAGGTGAGTCACTTGGGATAGACAAGCTGTTTGAAGAGACTGCGGGATACATATTGGCATTGCAGAATCAACTCCAGGCCTTGAGAGCTCTTACAATCTGTTTTGAGGGGTGGGAAAGGGAAAGGATGAAGCTTGGAGGTTGATGTTCATGTTCATGTTAAAGCAAAGGGTAGATTGGTTTCATTTCATGACAGACCAATTGAATACTCTCTCTCTCTCTCTCTCTCTCATATTTTGTTTGAAGGTAGTACTACCTGGGTAACATTTTCCAACCATTTGTCATTTTGGTACATTTCGATGGGGAAATATTGCCATGTTAATACTCATTTGGGTTCTTGTATTCTCCTTGCCATTTCATCCATTCTAAGTATTGGACAACCATGGAAGATTGAAATTCCAATAAGTCCAAGATTAAGTGATGATAATTAAGCTCAAGTGATTTGTATGATTTATGACACAGATTGCCACTACTTTTAGCTCTTTTTTTTTTCCTGGCCCTTTTCAAGGTAGGGCTTATCCAAGAGGTAAAGATTGAGTCATTTTTTTTCATGCGAGTGTACTGAATGAGTCAGTAATGCCACTCTTCCTTTTTTTTTGTAAAACATCCAGCAGTCGCAACGGAGATCCGACTAGTTTAAATCCAACTCGAACCACAAGGGCGACAAAATTCTTTTTACTAACTATTTGAACGTAAGCGTATTCCCAAGTCTCGAATGTCACTCTTGCAGTCTTTTTGTGACAATAAACACATTTACTTCCAAAAAATGTCTCAAAAAGCCCTCATTTTTGTACTGGTCCATCTCCGGTCCCGTTTGGACAAACCCCTATTTTCCACAATCCATTCCCATAACTAAACTTTACTCGAATCATAATTGCTCACAAAATAATGTAATTTATATAATAAAATAAAATAATTTTAAATTTTAGAGATAAAGAGTGGTTCAAATCATTTTATAACTAAAAAAGTCATCATCTAATAGACGACATTATCCTAAAATATTTTAATTTATTGACGTTTTAAATTATCTTAATTCGACGTATCACATTAACTTTTTTGAAATATTTTTTCTGCTTAAAATTTTTAGTTTTCAAAATTGACAACCCTACATTAAATTTGCCTCTCAATCTTGCCCAAAATCAATGTCATCTAGATCTAAAATTCTGTTCAAATATAAAATTAACGTCTATATTTAAATTTTGACCTCCATCAGACTGCTCTAAAAAATATCCTTTCAATATCAAAAAAAATTATTTTTTTACATCACAATTTTAGAATATTCAATATAATGATGATACCATATTATTTACTTCGTTTTCCTTTATCACATAAATCCATCTCGATCTTTTCACCCAACTATTTCTGGTATCTCCTTTTTCCTTTGCCTTCCTCTCTTCGTTCTTCCTCTCGATCTTTGCCCCCATCAAATAGTCACACAGGGTTGGCCTAACAGTATGGAAAAAGAAAACATGGACTCTTGGCTCCAAATTTTTAGATGGTTCTATAATTTTAGGTACATCATTAGCCCATTAAAAAAAATTAAATCTATTAAATTTTAAGCCCTATAAAAAAGCTTCAAAAAATTAAATCTAATAAAAAAATTTATTGCAATAATTTGGACCTATAATCCAATCCATAACATTAAAAACTTAGAAATTNAAAATTCAATATGAATTTAATATTTTTGATGAATTAAGTTTATAAATTATATGAATTAATTAAGTTTAAACAGTATTATTAATAAAAAAAAAAATCAATATGACCACGTGTCTGCACTCCTGGCACACCACACACGTTCTTTGACAGGCGCGTGAGTTTGTCATCTCTTCAACACTCCTTGATCAGTGCCTTGGGAAGCCAAAACCTAGGTAGGTCCAGCTTCGTTGGCATTGACATTTCCACGACTCAACAATAATTTAACACCACCGCCGCCCAGAAACCTCATTCACAACGTCATAAACATAACTCTCTCTCTCTCACTTCTGTGTCTGTGTGTATATGTGTTAGTCAATGGGGAGTACTAGTACGNCACTCAACAATAATTTAACACCACCGCCGCCCAGAAACCTCATTCACAACGTCATAAACATAACTCTCTCTCTCTCTCACTTCTGTGTCTGTGTGTATATGTGTTAGTCAATGGGGAGTACTAGTACGGAAGAACAAAGAACAACCACCGCATTTTCAATGAAAGAGAGAATGACCCAGAAAAAGTCTGNCCCACACACACACATTGTTACCAAAACCCACCACAGTCACCGAAACACCCAGTGTTTGTGTTATTACTTCAATGAACGGACCAACATTATCTTTATTTTTTAATGAACTTACTTTGTCTGCTGTACGACCATCTATAGCACGAAGGCGAAGCTCCAGCGATCAACAATGACACAACTCCAGCGGGATGATTATCTCCTAAAAAATGGTTTATTTGCTTGGGTTTGTCATTTTTTTTAGTTTTATATATCTTTAGGNCTAGTACGGAAGAACAAAGAACAACCACCGCATTTTCAATGAAAGAGAGAATGACCCAGAAAAAGTCTGGAATGGTTAATGCAGTTGAGGAGTCATTGGTCAGTTACCGCCGTGTACGACGGCCGGAGAGGCACCACAGGAGAAGCAGAAGGAAGATAAGGGATGTGAAGGTTCTGAAGGAAGTGAAGGATGGTGGTGGTGAAGATGAGAAGGCGCAGGTAGAGAGGAAGATAGTGGCATTGCAGAGTATAGTGCCAGGAGGTGAGTCACTTGGGATAGACAAGCTGTTTGAAGAGACTGCGGGATACATATTGGCATTGCAGAATCAACTCCAGGCCTTGAGAGCTCTTACAATCTGTTTTGAGGGGTGGGAAAGGGAAAGGATGAAGCTTGGAGGTTGATGTTCATGTTCATGTTAAAGCAAAGGGTAGATTGGTTTCATTTCATGACAGACCAATTGAATACTCTCTCTCTCTCTCTCTCTCATATATTGTTTGAAGGTAGTACTACCTGGGTAACATTTTCCAACCATTTGTCATTTTGGTACATTTTGATGGGGAAATATTGCCATGTTAATACTCATTTGGGTTCTTGTATTCTCCTTGCCATTTCATCCATTCTAAGTATTGGACAACCATGGAAGATTGAAATTCCAATAAGTCCAAGATTAAGTGATGATAATTAAGCTCAAGTGATTTGTATGATTTATGACACAGATTGCCACTACTTTTAGCTCTTTTTTTTTTCCTGGCCCTTTTCAAGGTAGGGCTTATCCAAGAGGTAAAGATTGAGTCATTTTTTTTCATGCGAGTGTACTGAATGAGTCAGTAATGCCACTCTTCCTTTTTTTTTTTCTTTTTTTTTTTTGTAAAACATCCAGCAGTCGCAACGGAGATCCGACTAGTTTAAATCCAACTCGAACCACAAGGGCGACAAAATTCTTTTTACTAACTATTTGAACGTAAGTGTATTCCCAAGTCTCGAATGTCACTCTTGCAGTCTTTTTGTGACAATAAACACATTTACTTCCAAAAAATGTCTCAAAAAGCCCTCATTTTTGTACTGGTCCATCTCCGGTCCCGTTTGGACAAACCCCTATTTTCCACAATCCATTCCCATAACTAAACTTTACTCGAATCATAATTGCTCACAAAATAATGTAATTTATATAATAAAATAAAATAGTTTTAAATTTTAGAGATAAAGAGTGGTTCAAATCATTTCATAACTAAAAAAGTCATCATCTAATAGACGACATTATTCTAAATTATTTTAATTTATTGACGTTTTAAATTGTTTTGATTCGACGTATCACATTAACTCTTTTGAAATATTTTTTTTGCTCAAAATTTTTAGTTTTCAAAATTGACAACCCTACATTAAATTTACCTCTCAATCTTGTCCAAAATCAATGTCATCTAGATCTAAAATTCTGTTCAAATATAAAATTAACGTCTATATTTAAATTTTGACCCCCATCATAATGCTCTAAAAAATATCCTTTCAATATCAAAAAAATCATTTTTTTACATCACAACTTTAGAATATTCAATATAATGATGATACCATATTATTTACTTCGTTTTCCTTTATCACATGAATCCATCTCAATCTTTTCACCCAACTATTTCTGATATTCCCTTTCTCCTTTGCCTTCCTCTCTTCGTTCTTCTTCTCGATCTTTGCCCCAACAAATAGTCACACAGGGTTGGCCTAACAGTATGGAAAAAGAAAACATGGACTCTTGGCTCCAAATTTTTAGATGGTCCTATAATTTTAGGTACATCATTAGCCCATTAAAAAAAATTAAATCTATTAAATTTTAAGTCCTATAAAAAAGCTTCAAAAAATTAAATCTAATAAAAAAATTTATTGCAATAATTTGGACTTATAATCCAATCCATAACATTAAAAACTTAGAAATTAAAAAAATAAATAAAATATTCAAAAGTCAATTCATATTTACTCCCACCCTCTCTCTTTCTCTCTCTCTCTATCCAGTAAAAAAAATAAAAAACAAAAACAAAGTTGAAATCTCTTTCTCGACATCTTTCTTTTGTCACCCTCTCACATAGAAAATTAAAAATAATTTATTTTTTTAAAAAATAATACTAAAAATAAAAAGACTTCCTTTTAATATTTTTGTTTTATGCCTCAAATTATCTTGAACCGCCCCTGTAGCCACCAACGCCCCTTTCTCTTCTCTCTTTTTCTCTCCTCATCGAAACCCTCTCTCTTCACAGCAATACTATGGAGGCACCATCGGAGACACAGTGATTAACCATCGACATTCTTAAATCCTCACCTGGGTATCCCTCCCCTCTCTCTTTATCTTTGCGTATGTCTCCCCTTACCGCAACCACCCCTTCTTTCCCTTTCCTTTTTGCCACCAAAACTCATAACAAACCACCAAACACCCTATATATCCAAAGCCAAACTTTTACCTGCAGCCAACCAGCACCTCCACCCCCTTTCTTCCCCAGTCCCCACCACTGCCACCAAAACTTCCCTAGTCAACAAACGCCTCCCCACCCCCACCCCCACACGCACACATTGTTACCAAAACCCACCACAGTCACCGAAACACCCAGTGTTTGTGTTATTACTTCAATGAACGGGCCAACATTATCTTTATTTTTTAATGAACTTACTTTGTCTGCTGCACGACCATCTATAGCACGAAGGCGAAGCTCCAGCGGGATGATTATCTCCTAAAAAAATGGTTTATTTGCTTGGGTTTGTCATTTTTTTTAGTTTTATATATCTTTAGGTTATTTATAATTTTTCTCTGTACGTTCTAGAATATGAGGATCTAAAATTGATTCAGGCTAAGTGGTCCTCTATGAACAAGGACGAATTCATTAATTTTTGGTGTTTTTTTGTCCAAAAACTGCAAAGAATTCCGGAAGAACCAAGGAGTCATTTTGATCAAGAGCCAAACTTTTTATTTTTTTTGGCACATTTGGGAATGGTTTGCATTAAAAGAAAGCCACAATGATAGGAACTACTGTGAGGTGTATGCACCATGACCTCTGAGGTTTCTTTTTGTAGGACTTGGCTAGCCATCAATCAAAGCATACATAATTTCCCAAAAGGCTGATATTCAATTTCAAACTAATATAGGATATTAAGGTAGTGATTGATAAAATTAAAGTCTGAAAGCTAAAGTCTAAAACCTGAAAGTTGAATGTTGAATTTTGCGAACTGTTTGGTATCCACTGANCGATGGGGAAATATTGCCATGTTAATACTCATTTGGGTTCTTGTATTCTCCTTGCCATTTCATCCATTCTAAGTATTGGACAACCATGGAAGATTGAAATTCCAATAAGTCCAAGATTAAGTGATGATAATTAAGCTCAAGTGATTTGTATGATTTATGACACAGATTGCCACTACTTTTAGCTCTTTTTTTTTTCCTGGCCCTTTTCAAGGTAGGGCTTATCCAAGAGGTAAAGATTGAGTCATTTTTTTTCATGCGAGTGTACTGAATGAGTCAGTAATGCCACTCTTCCTTTTTTTTTGTAAAACATCCAGCAGTCGCAACGGAGATCCGACTAGTTTAAATCCAACTCGAACCACAAGGGCGACAAAATTCTTTTTACTAACTATTTNTTCTTTTTTTTTTTTGTAAAACATCCAGCAGTCGCAACGGAGATCCGACTAGTTTAAATCCAANCTGAATAACACAATAAGTGAATAAGAACATCTGATAAAAAAAAGAACAATAACTAATAAATAATCATATAATATTGAAAAAATATAATAAATTATATTTCATTAACAATATGTGTGTGTGTGTGTGCAGTGCATTCGTTAGTATATATAATTATAATTATGTATTTATATTTTTGTTACAGAAGATAAGGGAAAGAACAAAAAAAGAAGAGATAGATAAGGAGAATANAACTCGAACCACAAGGGCGACAAAATTCTTTTTACTAACTATTTGAACGTAAGTGTATTCCCAAGTCTCGAATGTCACTCTTGCAGTCTTTTTGTGACAATAAACACATTTACTTCCAAAAAATGTCTCAAAAAGCCCTCATTTTTGTACTGGTCCATCTCCGGTCCCGTTTGGACAAACCCCTATTTTCCACAATCCATTCCCATAACTAAACTTTACTCGAATCATAATTGCTCNGTAAAATATTTCAGGGTATAATTGTCATATTATAAATATTTTTAAAGATAATTTTGCCGAGCTTTTTCAGCTTTTAGAATTAAGTAAGGGATCTCCTACTTAATATTGTAGCCTATTTTTAAGGAGCACTTAATATATTAAGAGAGTTTAAATTTTGGTTATCAAACAGGCTTAATTAATAAGTACTGAATATATTCATTTTAAGTGCTGAATTTGAATTAATAAAAACACCCTTAATCATCCTCTAAATGGATTTTAATGACTCAATTACTAATTATATAGTGTAATGGTACAATAAGTAATTAAATCTATTAATTAAAACCTAAAAAAAATGAGAAATAATATCTATCAAATTGATGAGAAATTTTAATACTTTTAATTTTATTCTAGTAGAAGGTACCCTATGAAGATAAGAGTCATGTAGATTCCTGTCGATGCCATTTTGTTTTAAAGATAAATAATTGTTTATATATTATTGAGATATTTATATAATTTAAATTTTAAAAGATAAACAAAATAATTTTTATTTTTTGTGGTTGAAATCTTTTTAAATTTTATTTTAAAGTTAATCTGATGCTTAATATTAACACTCTAAATTTAATAAGAAAAATATGCTCCTAAAGATGTTTGAAGTGACTTTTTAAAAATACTTTTAGAATTTATAAATTTTTATAAATTTTGTTTTAAAAAATAATGTTTAGAATTACCCACCACTGTTACCACCACCACAACTACTGCCATAGTGCCACCCCACCCCCACCTCTGCCACAATAACCACCACCACCACCGTCGTGGCCACAACAACCACCACCATCATCGTCGCCACCTTATCATCACCACTACCACCACCCCCTCGCCACCAACCCACCACCACCCACCATCACCGTCAGCCACTATCACCCACCCCTATCACACTTACCATTATCACTTGTCATCGTTGAGCATTGTCGCCACTCACTGTTACCCACTCTCCTACCACACTTACTACTACCACCACCACCCATCACGTTGCCGCTCAGAAGCACCAGTCGTCGCCCACCACCACCACTGCCAACCACCATCACCATCGCCCACTACCACCACCACCATTGTGACTCATAGCTGCCACTATCACTATTGTTACCAAAAACCAACCATCGCTATCACTGTTGCCATCCATGGCTGCCATCATCAGTATAGTCGTCTTCACCGATTACAACCATTACCGTCTCCCATCATCACCACTACCACCGCTCATCCCCACTATAATCAGTGATTAAATTTTTTTACTTTTTTCTATGTTTGTGATTTTATTTTGGGTATGAATACAAATATGTTTATTGTTGATTATTTTTTATATTACTTCATACCTTCATGTACATGCAATAATTAGTCCGCTTACATAAAATATGTACAACTTGAATTTGTGACAAGTGATATACCATTGGATAAAATTGAGATAAAAAAATAATGAAAAGATGTTAGGAGGTAAGGAGCATGGGCATGGTATGTGAAGAAAATGTCAATTTTTCTTGTTCGCCAAGAATACCCATTTCCATTTATCTCCACCATAGCTAAAGATTTAAGGTTCTATTTACAGTTTTGTTAGAGGATATTTTTGCAAATATTTTTTGTTTTTTTTTTTTTGGTTTTGAATTGTACACAATGGATTTCAAACGATAATGAACTAGTCCGGGCTTCAAGCTACCACGTCTTATTATTATAAATGGACTTGTCCCGAAGGACTGGCTGCACATGACGGACCGAATTGGCCCATGAAGTAATGGGCTTGCAAATTCAATATGTATTATACCATTCTATTCAAAACGTAGGCCCAACATCAAGTCCATCACGTCTTCACCGTCCGTTTGGGCACAGAAATATCTTATGCGAATCATCACTCACTCACACACACACACACACCAATTCAAATATTCAATTCATTTCCATTCACTCCTCCAATCCAAATACCACAATTACCACGGGTGGTGAAGGTGTGGCTTCTCTGGTTTTTCTCTTTTCCACTAAACCCTTCATTTATTGCCTGATTGGTTGCCCATGAAAAACTGTGGAAGGCTCACTGACTGCTGCGAAATTTTATTTTCCTTCGGTTTCTCGGCAACCAAACAGAACGTGATGCTTAAATTTTTTGAATTTTAGAATATGTTCTGCTCGTGAATTTAAGTCTGGTTTTATTTTAATTTTGTTGTTGTTGTTTTAGGATTAACTATGGCAGATGAGATAACCATCAACGGGGCTGACGATGATCGGACTGTTGATATTGAGGACAGTGATGAGACCTATTCGAAGGACTCTTTGGTTTTGATCCAGAAAATCGAGGGACTGGAGACAGAAAAACTCGAATTGGAGAAAGACAAGGCGGAGTTGAAGAAAGAAATGGAAACATTGAGTTACATAGCGGCCAGAGCGGCCGATCTGGAGACGGAGGTGTCGAGGCTTCAACACCAGTTGATAGAGAGTCAAGAGGCAAATGCCGAGTCCGCTGAGTTGAATAGGGTGATTGAGGAATTGAAGGAGAGAGAGCGAGACAAGGGTTTGATATTGGAGGCAGTAGAAAAGGAGAGGAATTTGTTATTGCAATCGAGGGAACAGAGGGAGGGGAAAATTGGGGAGTTGGAGGGGAGAATTAGTGAGAGAGAGGGGGAAATAAGGGTATTGAATGAGAAAATTGGGGAATTGGAGGGGCTGGTGATGAAGAATAGGTTGGAAATTGAGAAGGAGGAGAAGGAGAGGGAGGAATTGGAGATTGTGAAGAATGAGTTGGAGGGGCTTTTGAAGAAGTCGGAGAGTAGGGTTAAGGAGATGGAGAAGAAGGTCCGTTTGTTGGAGGAAGAGTTGGGCGAAAGAGGAGTTGATTGCGCAAATGGGAAGGGGCCAGTAGTGGTGGATAGGGGTGTTATTGGTGATGGGGATAAGGGGAGGATGAGTTTGAAGGTAGAATGGCCTGTGGTGGCGGTGGGATCGGTTGGTGCTGTTGCTGTGTTTGGGGTTGTGTGCTATCTTCAATGTGCTAGAAAAAGGTGATTGGAAGGTTGGAGAGTGAGGAAAATGAAGAAAACTTACAGGTTAGGATTGTTTTTACCGCCCACGGATATGTTTCAATTTTTATAGGTATTATGTTTTTGTTTGTTGTTGTTCTTGGACCATTTGATCTTGGTTTTTTGGATGTTTGGCTGTTGGCTAGTACTTAGGAGACTTTTATGATTGGCAGATCAAAAAGACTGGATTATTTTCAGGAGACTCCTTTAATACACCTTGCTATTGTGCCAAATAATGTTAGTCGTTGTGTTACTCTTCTAATATGCGGAAATTTTGTGCTGAGCTCCTTGATGTATACTTAACACGCTGTCATTGGTCTGTTAGATTGTAGAGATCTGATTGTAATAAGGCGAGCCTTGTGTCATTTGCTGATATGATGAGCTATCTTGCATTGTAAGGCCATATTGATAGTTTCTCAGACTAAAACTGTTATATGTATTTCCAGTTGCCATTGGTTTAGGATTTTGTTCCTTTTTTGTTCATTATTTGCAACTTTGAGTTGATGTGTTGATGATCAGTGTGGATGGTTATCCTGAAACCTGTCTTCCTGAGTGATTCTTACCTGAGATTGGTTGAATTTTAGATGCCATATATTGTTAACACGCTTGTGATTTGGATTTGATCACACACGAGAGCTGTTAATGAAAAAGGTCTTGGCTGCGTATTCTTCTCTCCTCTCGTATAAAGTCATTGTTTTGTTGGGCTGGCTTAGCCTTGCTTCACTAGGAATCAGAGATGTTTATTTACATCCTTTTTAGTTTCTTGTTTAATCCCAATTTTCAAGAGGACAATGGTTGATGGTTGAATGTTGTGTTGATATACAGCGCAATGTGTTTCAAGTCTAAACGGAAGAGTGGTGATTTGGATATGGTTTTTTTTTTGTGTGTGTTTTATAACAAATCAGGCATCTATGTAGTGTTTTGGATTTGGCTTGGTTTTTTGGTTTTTGTGTGCTGATAGAACAAATCAGGCATTTATGCATGCAATCTTTAGGTCTTACACGTGTTGCTTTATCAGTAGTTTTATCCTTTTTTTGTTTTTTTATATTTTTATTTTTCTCAGTTTAATGTTTTAGTAAGTTTTCCCCATGTGAAAGCATACACTTGTTACGTACAACTTTGTCATAGAATAGTGTTTTTCTTGACAGTAATATTACACTCACCAAGTTTTATACTAGATCTTTTGCACTGAATTAATATAGGTTGTTGGATTAGTAGGTCCCATTGATACTCACTAAAGTCTAAACATCGAATGCTTATAGTTGTGTGACATGATTTTGTGCAAGGATTTTGGTCCAAACATTTGGTGCACATAGCATTTCTTTTTCTTGATTATATAGTTGTATAAAATGGAAATTTCTTTAAACTGCTTGGTACAGAAAATCTCGCCCCAGCCATTTGAGTCTGGGCTAAATTTCCATTTTCTTCTGTCAAGGTAAACATGATCCGAGTTTTTTGTCTCTTGGGGGGGGGGGGGGAATGGTGAATTTGGTTTGATATTTTAGGTTAGACTTAAATGTTGTTTCTAATTAATAATGATTTATGCACTTGAGCCCACGAAACTGGTAAGGAGATGTGGCTTTTGGTTGCCATGATAGAATTGCTCAGAGTTATACACACCCTACAATTCTGGTCAATGCAAGTGCTGGCGGAAGTTGCAAAACCTGGAAAATAGGAGAATAGTGGTTGATCGGAAATACTATGAATTCATGACAACCTGAAATCGACAGTGAAGCTTGTCTAAAGATATAATGCTCTACGGTTTGGATTTGATACACATTCCTCAATAGGAAACTCAACATAGTATTTAGTTATGTCGTACCTAATACACAAGGCTCCTCCTTTTAGTAAGTGATCAGCAATCTTAACCCTATTTGTAGAGGAATTTAGTAATTAGTTTTCTTTAGCAAATTGTGTGCTATTGAGGCCATTTTTGTTCAAAAGTTTTTTGATCCTTGGTCAGTATACATACCTAAAACTTGTCAATGATGAGAATGGGCTTAGATTTGAACTTCTGAGCCTTGATTCCATGGTCCTTTTAGTCTGCTTTTGCTAATAGTTGTCCACGATTCATTTGATATTATGTTTAAGCTGGTAACTCTTCAACATTTTTTTTATTGATATCTCACTCTTTCCATGGTCAGAGTTTTCTGTGGCTTATATGTATTTGGGGGTTGGTCTTGAAGCTCTATGATACTTCTCCCGCCAGATGTTTGTAAAAATATGCTTTTCGGGATGATAACCTTATGGATGCGACATGAGAGTTTGGCCTTTTTTTCTGCTTAAGGCAAGATAAGGAAATTAGATGAGCAAATGATAGGGTAAGCCAAGGTCCATAGGCTCAATCCAAACACCACCTAGAAGGGTCTAACTCTGACATGTGGCATTGATCTTCAATGAGAAAGCGAACTTTGTGATGTCCGGATCTCAGTCAATTGGCTGCATTTAGGTCTGTACTGGCTTTTAGCAGTTTTTTCGGGTTCAACTTGTATCAATACAAAGTGATTATGATTGCTTTAGTCATTCGTTAGGGCTGCTACTCGTTATGACAATGTTGTTTAGGCATGCTTGTGCGGCATGGAAAAAGGAAGTATTGGATCGTTATGATTTAGGCATCCTCCCCTTAACCAATTAATTCTTTTATCATTGCCTCGGGTGCATCTCCTCCATATCCAGCAAACCATCCAGCTCTATGTTGTGCACCTGCTCTCTATTTTTTTCCAGTCCTTATTCAACATTTTATTACAGTCCAACAAAAAGTAAAAGAGAACTGTAGCCTATTCCTATTTTCAATTATCCTAAGGGTATCTTCTGGAAATTAGCTTGCAATACAAAGAGATTCAATAATAGTCTTTGAATCAAGCTCTAAATTACCTCTTGATATCCTTCTAATGTTGCTAGTCTACATGCTTGCCTGATAGGGAATGTTTCTGATACAAGACTAGATGGGGCAGGCATAGTCCCCGATCCTCTTGTTAGAAGTTAGAACACCTCCTGTATGGTCCCTTGGGCTAAGTGGCAGCCTTAACCCAAGCAGAAGTGCAATGTGTCTTAAAACTCAGGATTGTTAAGCGATTTGAGTACCATTCGGGTGTCTGATAGCTCACCCATTCATTTCTTGCCTTCCAGCTGAACCATATTCGGTATGCTAGCAAAGGTTGTCCCTACAGTTTTCACTAATGTAGCCTTCAATATACTGCGGCATTTCTTAGATCCAGATTACTTTTTTTCTCACTTGTAGTTTGTCTCGAGTTTGTAGAGTGTAAAGCTGCCACACTTTTTCTCTCCACAGGCAAAGTAAAAGCATGTGTTCCATTGTTTTTGTTTCCTTCCCACATATGGACATATAGGGTTGTTTAATGAATTTTTTTTGCTTTGACGAAAAAAAGTTTGTACCAACTTCAGCAATGTGTTGTCCATTTGTAGTACTAGTTCATACCTCTCTATACTCTTGTGGGGTTTTTCCCTAAGGAATAGTGGGAACAACTTTGCTGATGACAGGAGGGAATGTGGACTCTACGTTGCTATGATTCCATTCCATATGAGAGTTAGGTGTTGTTTGATGATCCAATTCTGCACTTCAAACTGAAAATGCATGTGTTTGATAGCTAATTACATCACTTGAATATTTAAGAACATCTAGAAATAGGCTAATATTTGTTATTGAGTCACCTACTTTAACACTTAATAATAAAGATTTTATAATTTTTGATAATGTATCAATTTGCCTTCAAACATTTTGTTTTCAATTTATCTTGCATCCCAAAGTTTGTTTTCAATTTGCCTTCAAATTACCGCCCTATCCCATTGTCGCCACCATTTCACTCCACAACCATCATCCCACCTCCACCTAATAGTCACCACCACTGACTTTGCCACTATTACCACCACTATTATCCTGACGATTACCCCCCTAACACAATCGTGGCTGCGACAAGGGTGGTGGAAGTATGGTTGTAGCGATAATAGTGACAATTGAAGGTGCTAATAGTAATTTATTTTAATTAATTTTTTTTTTTTTGGGGGGGGGGGGTGTTATGATGGTGGAGGTGGTATGTGGTGGTGACGGTGATACTAAGATGGTGGTGGTGAAGGGATGGTTGCAGCAATGGTAGTCGAGTTGATGGCAACGCTTATTGGTGGTAATGTTGGTAGTGAAAACGGAAAAATTGGTCAGGCGTGGAGTTAGAATTTTATTTTTGGGGGACGAGCAAATAGTCGTATAACCAGATTTTTTTTTAAAAGGTGAATTATTCGATGAATTATCATTTGTATCAATTTTTTGAAAAATATATAATTGTGGTACTATTTATTATCTCAAAATAATTCAAAAAAATAATTCAAACTTGTTAGACTATATGGATGTAACAAAATTTATCAATATACCAAACAATCAATAATTTAAACTTGATTTCATCACATAATCATTCAAGTACAATTCTATTTCATCAAGCTTATGAGAAATGCAAAAAAGCCAACAGGAGAGAGAGAGAGAGAGAGAGACCAAATACATGTTCAATATGACTTGAAACCTTTTATGCCTCATTTGGGAACACTAACACATCTTCCTCTCAAAGTATGACCCTAATTTCACTTGTTGATTTGTACACGTTATACCATTGATTAGTCAAAATAATTCATCATTTCACGATTTGTGCAAAATAGAATAATTTTGAATGATTAATGGTGCAACGGAGTAAGTTGAGGGTAAATTAAAATCAAGATCAGCAAATCCTCTTGAAAGAGGGGATCGTTGTTCCACCATGGACCATTTCTTGCCTGCTGAACTCTTGGCCGAGGCAAGTACGGTAGAGGTAGAAGTTGCGACATTTCGACTGGTGTGATTGCTGGAAGCAACGATTGTTGCCTTGCAGCTTCTTACCTATCAAAGTCTCAAACAGCCCCTCCAGTGCATTTCTAGTGCCGCCAGACTCCTATCAAGGTTTCCATGTTATTAATAAAACCTAAAACTAGTTGGGAAACCTCCTGCGAATAAGCTCTGAACGAGGCCACTCGCATCGAGTCAAGTGAAGTCAATTCCTCTTGCGAGTTGGGGCTGCCAGACCCACCTCCCTTCAAGCATCTCTTGCCATGTTTCTTCAAGAATGTTCCACCGGACGTGTCAAAACATATGTTTGACATATTTTTACATCGCGGGCATGTCATAGTATAACCAAACTTAATAATTTCAAACAATACGACCGTACTTGCTCGAATTGGTATGAAGTTTTAATTCATGAATATTCAAGTAATTATAACAAAACGTATCAATATCTATGGATTCTTTTCGATACCTTTGACATCAAGTACTTAAACTATTTCACTTGAAAAAATTATATTTCAATTTAAATAGAGCTGAGTTATCCCACAAGCGAAGCGACGACTTCCCTGGGACATCATCAATGCATTAAGGCAGGCCATTTGGCAATTTG